CAACTGTTACTGGTTTCAATATAATAGGATTGGATGAAAAGTGGTTTATTATATTAGAAGTGAAGTGAAAGATGCTGTTAAACTAATGAAAAGAATTGTAAATGATCTTAATAATAAAAAGGCACTATATAAATAATTTAAATTGTTGATTGAATATGAAATAGTTGTTAAAATTATTGGATGTAAATATCTTTATATCACTTATGGCAGTTGAACAAATTTGTGAAAAGTCACATAAGGAAATTTCATAAAGCACTGGATCTTACCACTTATCCACATTAAAATCCTTCCATTCAGCATTCTGGTCTTTTATTTAGTAATAGAAGAGTACTTTTGATTTGCTATATATTTTTTGTAATATTTAAATATTAACAACTAATATTTATATAATTAATAATATAAAAAAACCCTTATAAAAATAATATTTTAAATAGCTGTAACTCAAAAGTTCCTCTAACTTGAAGAATAAATATAGACTTCAGATATAACAAAATCCTAATAAATCAGAATTAACCTTATATTAGAATTATAAATTTAAAATTTTGATAATAATTATAATAAAATAAATAACAAATCAGTTATAATAAAAATGATTCAATTTACTAAAATATGTGACAATTTACAATTTTAAACCAATAAAATTAGCAGCAAATATAATGATTTTTTAGAAATTTTAGTAAAATAATGCAAGCTTTAAAAATTTAAATAAAGATTTTTTAATATTTTTAACATTTTTAGTCAGTATATTCAGAAAAATTTCACTACTTTATAAGAATATAATATAAATAAAATTTCTTAAATTAAATTATTTATTTGAAATTTTAATAAAACTTTTAACTTTTAAAAAAAAATAATAAATTATATATATAATTTTTTTTTACATTTTAATTACAAACTTTTATTAAAAATATATCTAATAATAAAGTAAAAAAAAGTAAAAACTAGGTAAAATAAATAATTTTTTTTTATATATAAAATCTAGTGTATTGAAATTAAAGTTATAAACAGCAGATTAGTTCAATTCTATTTTTTAGTTCTTAAAATCTATTATTTTGTGCAATAACTTGCCATTTAGTAATTATAAAAAAATGATTAATAGTTCATTAAAATCTTCTCACTAACTAATAGCATTAATAGATGGTAAGTTATTTTTTGAAAAATTGGTAAAAATAATTTACCATTTATCAATATTAGAAAGATAATTTTGGTACCATTTGAACTGTCTTAATAAATAAAATTCTAACAAGCTATTAATTATTTTTTTACAATTACTGGATAGTGAGTTATTACATAAAATTAATTAAAAAAAAACTAAAAAAATAAAATTGAACTGAACTGTTTAAAGTTTTAATCAAAATTTTTTGATATATCAAAAGTTTCAATATACTGGATATTTTTATTAGAACAGATAGTTCTATTATATCAAATTTCACTATGTATTTCAATTCTTTATATAATAATAATATTTTAAAACTGTAAATAAAGATAGTTCTCTTATTAATATAACTAATTGTAATGTTATAAATAATCCAAACTACATTATTAATATTTTTAAATTTTTATTTTTTTGTTTTTTTTTATTATTATAAAACAGTCACTAACTATTTTTTTCTTTTTTTTATAAGTTTAAATGGATCTATTAGTGACATATTTTATAATTTACCAATTATTGCAATTGAATATATACTTTTAATTTATCCTTTTTCAATGCTATTATTATAATTAATTTATATGCAATTCAACAGGTGATTTTAATAAATAAGAAAAAATAAAATTAAAAGATAATATTTACTTAAAAAGTAAATTAATATAATATTATATAAATAATATATTAAATGCAATAAATTTTGCAATAAAATAAATATATTTATATATAAAAAAATTAGTATATAAATAAAGATTAAAATTTTAATTTTTTAATAAAAAATAATAAAATGTATCTATCATATTATTTGCAATTCTCTATTTATATATTCATATTGACATATTCAAATTTTTTAATGAATATATTTAGTATAATTTATTTCTTAAACTGTAGGGGCTATATATGCCATTCAAATTATTTTAAGCTGCCATAAATATAAGTAAAATCCTAAATTCAATTATGGCATCCCAAATTATTTTGGCATTTTACATAGTAAATTATATATAAACTGAATGAATTATAGCATCCCAAATTATAATTATGGCATCCCAAAATAATTTGGGCAGCATGTATAGTAG